ATGCTATCATAGTTTCATTACCTAACTAATTTTATTTGAACTGATGTTATTTAATTAGGCTCTATGAGAATGAATGTTAAGGAGCACACCTCCCCAAAATGAACTGAGAAACAGCCACGTTTAAATTACTCAAGGATAAAAAATTATTCGTGAAAAAAAAAAAATAGATAATACAGTATTAATGGATAATGTAAAGGGTTTATTTTTTAAGATAATGGCACTGATAAATTTTCTCATTTTCTCATAAATGCTTTTGTTCCCAATTATGAGAAACTCATAGTAGACACTATCATCTTATAAAAATAGATAATACAGTATTAATGGATAATGTAAAGGGTTTATGTTTTAAGATAATGGCACTGATAAATTTTCTCATAAATGCTTTTGTTCCCAATTATGAGAAACTCATAGTAGACACTATCATCTTAAACTCTGCTAAATAAACGACATTAGATAATTTTTGCCTAATGTATTATCAGGCTATGAAAAATAGCACCTCTTCTTAATTTACATGCTTTTAAAGAAATTAAACAAAAATAACTTTAAAAGGAGCTCTTTGGTGGTGGTGGGGAACATATTGCTTTTCAAAGAAAGCAAAAAATATTGCAAAATTAACTGAATAAAGGAGCCAACTCTCATTTGACATAATTGACATAAAAATGAGATTTATAATCAGAAATACTTTCCCAAATAATTGAGGTAATGCAAGATGAAACCACAGCAATTGTTCAAAAAATTCTCTTATGATGTCTTAAATGTAAAATCTAATGCAAAAATAGAGAGACAAGGGAAGGCATTGTGACCATGAAAATGTACTAATGACACTATGATGAAAATGAGGTCAATACATCCTTTTCTTAGAAAGCCATTGGAAGAGGTTGCATATACATTTGAGGAAAAAGAAGCAAGCCATTGGTCCATTATAGAATAACAGAAACTCTCTAATTGTTTACTGTGACACATTTGACCATTTATTTTACAATTCACCTTTGATTTAGTACTTTAGACTGCTATGATAGAATAAAACTATGCATGTTTTTTCTTTTACTGTAGGTTCTGATGTCACAAGGCCTTTGCTATTTCAGAGTAAGTCCTTTAATTTTGGAAATATTTTCACTCATTGCACTTTTTCTATGGCAATATATGTAATTTGCAACCTACTGTTTACTTAAATGGTAGCCTTATTTCCTCAGAAAGGCCATTATTCTACATTTTTTTTCCACATAGAAGGCTGCTATCTTAATATAAAGTATTAATCTTAATACTTTGCTTCTATGAACACCAAATCTCAATCTATAGCTACTGATAATCTGGAAAGACCTGCACTTTATTTTTTTGTGGCTGTCCAGTAAGAGGATCCAAACCCTTGACCTTTGTGTTATACCACCTCTCTCTAACCGAGCGAACCTGCAAGCCCTGCAGCACTTTATTTTTAAATTTTAATTCATCAATATACGATGTAGTTGATTTTCATGTCCCTTTACCAATTCCTCCTCCCCCGCCCTCTTCCCCTACCCCCATTAATATCATATCTGTTCACTTGTCTCAACAAGTTCAAGGAATTGTTGTGATTGTTGTCTTCTTCCTTGCCTGGCCCCCATTTGTTTGCCCTGCACATTTAAAAAAAAAAAAACATGTCAGAGAATTACAGAAAACTTTCAGTTGTATTTATTAAAAGTTTAAAGAAATAATTTTTCATAACTGAATTGGACACAAATAAAATGGTACCTTAATTGCTTCAAAAGTAACTATTTTGTGTTCAAGATAATGTAGAAATATGTCAGATTTAAAAATCATTCCAGGCTGGCAGGTTAGCTCAGTTGGTTAAGAGCTCAGTGTTGTAATATAGAGGTCAGGGTTTGGATCCCTGTACTGGCCAGCTGCCAAAAAAAAAAAAAAGTTGTTTTGGGCTGGCTGGTTAGCTTAGTTGATGAGAACACAGCCTTGTAACACGGAGGCGAAGGGTTTGGATCCCCATACCAGCTAGCTACAAGAAAAATAAAAAATCATTCCCTCTAAATGTCTTTATTTTAGTACTAACAGCTTTGATAACTGTTCTCTAGACATTGTTTGTGCATGTGCATATTTATCTAACATGAAGGCCTAAGAGTAAATGGGATTCTTCTATAATTATATTCTCATAAATAAACCGTCAGGCATCAAAGCCTATAGCTCCATAGTTGTAAAATTAACAAAATTTCATTTAAAAGTACATGCCATAGATAAAAGATTCTTTCCTGTCCTCTGAAATAAGTCAAAGCGAATGTGAGTATGATCTTTTAATACATCACTCATTTGATGGACCTTATGTTAGAGAAATACATCAGCTTGTCTTCATGAAACCTTTTACCTGATATCACAAAATCTACTTTAAGCACATTGGTAGGATTTGTACATTAAAAAATAGCTGAGCAATTCTTTGCTCCTCCTCAGATTCCTTGATCTGACAGATATGACTAAATCGTCACTCCACATGCTCTTCAGCAAAACTGGTATGTCTGTTTCTTCACTTGCACTTACCATTTATAATAATACAATTTACTTATTCAATGATTGCTTCCCAACACCTTCCCCCACCCTCTTTAGAATGTATGATCCACGAAGGCAAATGTTTGGATTTGGCCACTGGGGTATTTCAAGTGCTTAGAATGCTGTCTGGCACCCAGTAGCACTCAAACATTCACGGAATAAAACAATGTGGTAGAAGACGAGGTCAGAGATGTAATGTGATGGCGCACAGGTCATGTAGGGCCTTGCAGTCCATTTTAAAAATTAGAGCTCTTACAGAGACAAATGGGGACCCACTCCAGGATTCTGAGCAGGAGAGTGCTGTAAACTGACTTACATTTTAAAAGCATTACTCTGGCTGTTATATTGAGGATGGGCTGTGGAGGGCAGGAGTGGAAGAAAAGAGACAGTTGTGAGAGCTGTGAGACATGATGAGGGTGATCAGAAAGCAGTGTAAATGGCTGCATTCTGGATAATCCTTAAGGTAAAACAAACAGCATTTCCTGATGGATTGAATGTGGGCTGTGAGAGAAAAAGGAATCAAGGGTGACAACAAGGTTGTTTTGGCTTAAGCAACTGGGAGACTTGCGTTGTCATCAATTGACTTATGAAGGACTGTGGAAGGAGTATAGTATGTCTGAGGGTATGAAGAGGGAAGATTAGGAGTTCAGTGTTGGAAATATTATGAGTAAGATGTTAAGTAGTTACCAAGAGATGCCAAAGGCAGGTGGGTCTGTAGCTGAAGTTCAGGGAGAATCCCAGGACGGAGACATAAGTTAAAGGTTCATTATACATGAATGAAACTTAAAGGGAATGCATAGAAGAGGAACAAGCACTGAGCACCTGGCAGTTAGAAAGATCTTTGAGAGGGAATGAATTTTGTCACAGAAATAGTATCTCAGGTTCATCTCTCAGGTAATAAATGGCCTGAAGGAAAAAAAATATATCATTATCAGGTGATGTTATTTTATAAAAGACAGGTAAGAACAAGCAAATTATGAACATAATTTAAAGATAGAATTTATTCTCTGATGGTTTACTCATGCAAACTGCACATAAAAGAAAATAGTACAGTTTGTGTAACATTGCAAATATAAGGACTCAAAATGCTAGGTACAGAAGTAGTGTGACATCCTGAAAGTCAAAATGGAATTTGTGTTTATACAACTAATAATGATTTTTATTTGCTGAGTACAGACTGATTTACAATGAAGGTTTTGCTAACCTTGATAAACTCATTAACTGTTTACATGACTTCTTACATCTATGTAATTTTATTTTACAGTTGCAAGAATTCTGTTATCTAAGAATTTTAACTTGCATAAATAAGATGAAAATAAAATGCACTGAAGAACTTAGGAGAGTGAAAGATTGAGGCTTTTCCTAACTCATCCAAACTACAATTAAAAATAGCCTTCTTGCAGAATCTGTATTTGTGCCTTTGAGATCAACTCCATAGCATAACTATGGCAAAATCATGTTAGAAACTGATTACTTTAAAACTGAAATCAGTTAAAAATAAAAAATTTTAGAAGTAGAATTATCAATTAAAAATGCTCTCATTTTAAATAAGCCATAATAAAATTCCTATTATCTTCATACTTAAAAGTCCTGAAATATCATTTGTATAATTTCATGAAATCAGTTAAAAATAAAAAATTTTAGAAGTAGAATTATCAATTAAAAATGCTCTCATTTTAAATAAGCCATATAATAAAATTCCTATTATCTTCATACTTAAAAGTCCTGAAATATCATTTGTATAATTTCATTATTTCCCAGTTTGGAACTTAGGCAGGTGAGATATTTCCTTGAATTATTTGAAGGATATTCCATACAGGCTTTTAAAGTCAGTCTCATTAGGAGATGGCACTGAGACGTTAGCAAATAGTGTAGTATGGATGCAGAATGAACTACACAACTTATTATAAATGTACTACAGATATTTACATAGTGGAATCCTGCTTGAATGCCAGAAGTTGCTACTGGGTAGGACTCATAACTATTTTACAAAGTTTTCTTACACACATCTACTACTTTTTAATTTTTATGTTTAACAATTTAGTCTATTTTAAAATATTGTACTGTATTTTGAACATAACTGCAGAATAAAAATAGGTAATGGCACATTAGAAAACTCAGTATCCCACAGATGACTGGATAATGAGAAAAGTGTACCTACAATCATCTCATCAGAAACAAGCTACATCATGGAATGTTAGTTATCCAAGCCTGCACAGTAATGACATTTTAAACTGCAATCATCTATTGGCCAGCATCACACTGAAGGCATCGTTAAACATTCAAGCAAAGACTGCTGGCATAAACTATTGAAAGACACACACACACTCACATACTCTCTCATCCACTCACGCTTCCCACATTATAATTACCTTGTTCTAAAGATAGATACTGATTTTTTTCCACAAGAAACATTATCAAAATTTGCTACTAAAAGATGACAGTGCTTTCACAAGAATAAGTACAAGTTAGATCGCAAGTACAAGACAATAGGGGTAAACAGTCTTAAATTTTCTAAGTAGTAATTTTAGGCTTTTCTGGCAACCACACCATACTTGATTATGCATAAATTTCAGTTTGTAACCTGGAATCTGCAGAAAACAATCAAAAAAACCCAAAATAAGAGCTAAATTAAAAAACTATTAGATATCTGATAACCCTGTATCATACATTATATAATTTTGCATTTAGCCTCAAAACATAGGTTTAAAATACTGAATTTAGACTTGAAAAATAAAGTCATTTTTGAAATGCGTAGGATTCTAATTATTTATGCCTTAAATCATTAAAAAAAGAAAATGCACTTTTATTAATGACCTTTAAAGAATGTGCATAAAAGCAATGTATGTTTTTTTTTTACCATGTTTTCAGTCACTTAAAAAAAAGTGTTCTCCATGTACTTCATTTTGCATAATGTGCAAAATAAAAGGCAAAAAGATTAAAAGCAAATTTCTATCTTTCTCTTGCCTACTGCTTTATGACTTTGTTAACATTACAAAGTCAATAGGGACTACGCAGAACTTTGGTATAAATGATAACCATACTACCATTACAGTTGAGGGTTAAGGGGTGGTCCAAAGAAACGTAAGTGGGAAGAGAGATTCAGTAACACCCCCATTTATTTATTATTAAAATACCTCCAAATTAAAAGTGAAGTAAACCACAATGAATTATAATACAATTTACACATTGAGCACAGAAAAATTAATAAATCTAACAATATTTATAAAAAAAAGCAAAATCAGTCTTTTTCCAGAGACTAAAAACTGTTGCTCAGTCTGATCATCAACTGCTGCTGTATCAACTTTAGAGCCAAATTTAATTTCAAGTAAAAAAAAAATTTACAACCACAGATTTCGCATAAATGGAAATTGGTCATTTCTTGATTTTCCTTTGAAGTCACTAATGATTATCTAAAACTGTTGTACTGCAGGTTTTTAATCAACTTCCTGAGGGCTGTGACTGGGAGGAAGGAGCCATGACAATCTGTGAAAGCGCGGGCTCCGTACTCTGGTCTGCCATCTGCGTGAGGACTGAAGTGGCTACTGCTTCTGCCTTGGAGGTTGAACTGACTCCATTGGATGTGCTGACCGAACTATGCTGTATAGCTTCTGTATGTGGACTACTGGGCACCGAAATATCTTCTGAACTATCATCTTTATCTGCAGCTGAGTGGAAGAAAAAAAATTATTGACTTTCTTAAATAAAATATCTGTAAGAATGTATCATTAGGCTGAATCAATATACAGAGCAAAAACTTAGACAGTATTTTACAAAACTGATTATTTAGATAAGTAGGTATGACTGAAACTGAGTAGCTGATGAAAAGGTGGCTGTAAGTCATGAAGTAGGCAATTTAAACTGCAACAGGTCAAATGAAGGCACAACCACGCATATAGAAATATTTGGGTGCCCAAGTGGCTCATAGAATAGAGCTGAAGAAATATTGGCTAAATAGTGGTAAGAGAAAATGAGGTAGGAATTTGGGAGACAGCCTCTTACAGATATAATCAAACGCTTATCAAGAAACACATTCAACAAATCAAGTCTGTTTGCCTACATGTCATTCTCATTAAAAGATAAAAAATAATTTATAACCACACGCATAAACAAAATGAATTCTTACATACAAATTATATCTTCAAATGATTCCCTCTGCATTCTCCAGAACTATATTTATTCTGGCTGATTTTTAATCTACTGCAGCCATGGATGATTACAACACTTGATTCTAATACACATGAGAATAAGCAATATTTACAATCTAAAAGCCACCAGCTGTTATAGTTGCATGAATTAACTGAGATTCAAATAAAAATCCATATAAAACTCCAGATACTGTGATTGAAAAGATATTGAGGAAAGGGCATTCTAAATATTTATGAAAATAAATGTACTGATATTTAGGCCCGAAAAACAAATCTCTTATATCTTTCTTAACAGAACAGAATCTAGTAATTTTATTTAGTGAAAAATCTGATATGCACAACACACACAAATATTTATAATAAGCGTAAGTTATGAAGCACAATGATAACACAAACACCTGTGAACCCAGCCCTCAACTTAAGAGAGAACACTGCCAATCACGCCACTGCTCTCTGGAGGCTCTTCTTGCCAAAACGTAATCACCATCCAGACATTTCTTTAACCATTCCCTTGTTTTTTCCTTACATAGTTTTACCATACAGGTATGTATCCCTAAAAAATATAGTTTAGCTTTATTTTTAAACATTCTAAAAATAGTATCATATTGAATGTATTCTTTCGCACCTTGCTTTTTTTCACTTGGCATTAATTTTTATTTAGTGTTTAGAAGTGGCATTATACAGGCTTTCTATCAAATCTGAGTGTGCATACTAGCCTGCTTACTGATGGCCAGGTGCCCATTCAGAAAGTCAATTAGTCAAAGACTGTGGACCTTATAAAGGAGAACTTACTCCATGATTTGTAATGTAGAAGATGGAGGGGGAGAATACATGGCAAGTACAACTTTAGTTTAAGTAAAATTTCTCATTTTGAGAGTTTTCTAAAATATATTACTTACAGAATCTTGACATCTGCCTCAAAGCCATGAATTTTTGAAAAGCAAGTTTTAAATATATTAGTAAGATAAAATTCCATTTTCTCTACAATGTGCTGTAAATAAATGCAAAACCATACACCTGGATAAAAACTAGACCTCAAGATACAATTTTAAAAATCACAATTTTGGTTCCAGTCAAGATGGCGGAATAAATTATATTAGTAAGATAAAATTCCATTTTCTCTACAATGTGCTGTAAATAAATGCAAAACCATACACCTGGATAAAAACCAGACCTCAAGATACAATTTTAAAAATCACAATTTTGGTTCCAGTCAAGATGGCGGAATAAATGATTCCCAGAGTCACACTCTCCCACAAATCAACCAATTTACAACTACAAAAATGTAACATCAGTCAAGCCAGGGCCGCTGGAGCTCAGGGGAAGAGAGGAGGAGAGACCTACGGAGTTCATGAAGGCAGAAGAAACCAAGATGAGAGAAAGAAAAAACTGCTCTGAGCGTTTTGGGCCATGGCTGCTTTAAGGCTCAAGCTGATGAGCACACGGAGCAGGAGCCAGCAGAAGCTGCAGCTGTGCCCTTCAGATGGAGTTACTTGGAGACAGCAGGGAGAAAAGGGCCTTAGAGGCCCCCAGGACAGCAAGGCCACTAATAGGGTTCCCATGGACCCATGCAGGAGCAAAGAGCCAGAAAAACTGAAAAAAGGGAGCCATTCAGAGGCCAGTGAGTCATCGCAAGGGACCGGCACAGGGCCCATCCTATGGGAAGTGCTTGAAGCATGAGTGGTGGGGGAGACAGGCCCACCAGGAGAACACTGGGGCACAGCAAGGACAGCTGTGTTGTCCCCCAATCAGCACAGAACCACTGGTCGGGAATGCAGAATTGCAAGGGGTATAGTTTGATGAAAACTCAGATCAGAGATTCTACACAACACTGACCCACCGGGTCTCTTCCTTATAGGAAGTACCTGTAAGGTCAATCATTAAACCCTGAGCTGCACAAAAAGCCTTCCCTAGGGAAACAGCAGCAAAGCAGCAATTTACCTCAACCACACAGCTCAAGTACTGGTTCCTATAGGAAGTTCCCCCATTTTAGAAGCAAGCAAAGGACAAAAAATTAGTCCTGGCCCAGGAACACCACCAGCACCTTGGGGCCTGCCCGGGACCAAGGCATGGAGAAGGGGACTGGACACCCCTCCCACAACCAGGCTCCCACAACCAGGCACACCACGGCAGTGCCTCGGGGCCCACCTGGGGACCTGAGACACGGAGAAACGGACCAGACCACCCACCCCACAACCAGGTGCACTGCGCCTGTGCCTCAGGGCCTGCCCAGTAACCCAAGGTATGGAGCCGGTGACCAGCCCCTCCTCCCACAACCAGGCACACCATGCCAGCACCTTGAGGCCTGCCCAGAGACCCAGAGCATGGAGAAGCGGACAGGACCACCATCCCACAACCAGGCACACCGCTGCCAGCACCTCAGGGCCCACCCAGGGACCAGAGGCATGGAGAAGGGAACCAGAGACACTCCACAACAGAGCACACCACCAGCACCAAGGAGCATGCCAAAAACATCACGTCTATGTGGGTGGCTCATCACAGCCATCACAGTAACCACCGCTGCTGTGAAAGCGGCCAGACACCACAACCACTGTGCAAAATGGTCCACCAACCATTGGAGTGCATTGACACAAGGAGAGTTACCAGCAGAGATAAAAGAAGAGGATGTCTCTCTCCACAAAGCCCATTTCAGAGTGACAGAAGCAGCATCTGCTCTATGATAATATTGGGGGACTTGATCACACCTCTCAGCATTGGACAGATCATCTAGGCAAGAAATTAACAGAGTAACCATTATTCTTCCAGAAGGAGAGAAGAAATCTAGGGTAATTACAGGGGGAAGTAGGGAGGGAGTAGGAGAAGGGGAGAGATTGGGCAAGGGGCATAAAGAATAATTACAATTGTAACAATATATATGCTAGTAATATTGATTTGATCAACATATCTCAATGTTGAACCCCCAAAATATGTATAATCCATTTTGATTCAATAAATAAAATAAATTTAGAAATAAATTCTTGCTGAATTAATAAATTTAAAAATAAAAATACAAATACAGGAAAAAATAAAAAAAATAAAAATCACAATTTTATATAAAGCAGAAAGGATACTTTGCTGATCAAGCAATAATGAATGTTATAAAATATTTCTAATTTAGTTATTTAAATAGCCAATACAATAGCTATGTGTTCAAAGAAAACAAAACACTGGCAATGACAATTTAACTGAAGAGAATACTAAAAAGCCCTATTTATTTATTTTGCCACTATTCTCCAACAGAACAACAAGCTGACCTTTCTTTGAACGTTAAGATCTAAGGATACACTAGCTTTCAAAAATAAAGAGGCTGATCTGTGATGAGGGATACAAGGAAATGTAAATGTATACTGGAGGCAATGACTCAAAATGAACCAGTAAATTATAATGAATGAGTGCTTATCTACAGACTTTCACAATTAGAGAAAGCAAATCTTTTGGCAGTACAAATAACTGGGTCCTCACATATAAACCATGTAATTATTATACCTTTACAATGTGATATATCTGCACCTATATCCAGTTCTAGAAAGTGAGGGGAGAAAATTACCGGTATAATAACAAGCACTAGAAAGATACAGGAAATCATGCCATACTCAAAGAGTCACTTTCAGCTCTACTTAAGCCAAAAGAAACCAGCTGTCTGACAATTCAGTTCTCTATAAAGTTCTCTACCTATGTTCATACATATTTTCAATAATGAAAATATTTAGTGCTCACTATGGCCTAACAAGCTATCCTTCCCATTTATGATTAGAGACAATTATAATACAATTTTAATTATTTTCAGATCAAGAATATGAATTCATGGCACTGAGATCACTTTTATGCTTTATTCCTTATGGAACCCAAATATTGAAAATGTACTCTTATTTTTATTCAGGTTTTATATTATTTAACTGTTAGGGAGACCAATTGCCATGGTTTTCCCATGACTGAGTAGTTTCCTAGGACGTGAGACTTTTCAATGTAGAACCTGGGTGGAACAGTGTTAAAACTGAGACCCTATAATTATAACATAGTACTGTCACCTTTATCTGTAAGATTTTGTTGTATTCCCCGTAATTTATACTAAATCTTGTTTTTTCACAAGATTTTGAAAGATTTAGCTAGGTTTACAGTTCCCCACCATTAACAACTGTTGTGTGCTACAGTAAGATGAAGAATGTGAATTTCTCCAAGATAAAGGCTGAGTATCACTCATCCAAAATGCCTGAGACCAGAAGTGTTTTGGATTTTGGATTTTTTCAAATTTTGAAATATTTGCAGAATGCATATTAGTTGAGTATCCCTAATCTGAAAATCCAAAATCCGAAATGCTCCAATGAGCATTCCATTTGAGCATCATGTTGGCATGAATGAAATTTTAGATTTTGGAGCATATTGAATTTTTTGGATTGGGGATGCTGAACTAGTATAAATATTCACTTAGTCTCTGTATCTACCTTGACTATTAAGCAACAGAGAAGTCAGATTTATTTTGAAGAGTTTACATTTAAAAATAGAACTTACTTTAAAATTTCTACAAAATCCAATTATCTCCCAAGAGCTGATGATAATTTTTATGGTAGAACTATATGAGAAGTCTTCAAAAAGTTCATAGAAAAGATTTGCATTATCTTTTAATTCTATTTTCTATGAACTTTTTGAAGTACCCTCGTATTTGACTTCAGTTAATCTGATTATCTAAATGTCTAGACAAGAACAAATTAGGATATACTTCCAAACAACAAAAATGTTGTATTCATTTCTTGCACTTCGCAAGAATTACAACAAAAATGTTGTATTCATTTCTTGCACTTATATATTCATTAAAAATGTATTAATCTAGGTTTTCAGTCATTTAAGTATAATGTATATAAACCCACACATCTATACATGTTAAAATATCTTTAAAAATCAATTGTTAAAATAATTGCCTTGCATTTGCTGATAATTTTGAACTGGGTACAAGAGAAAAGTTAATTTCTTTCTAATTTTATAGAACCATTTGTATATTTCCTTTCAAACTATCAAAATTTAAGAGTGCTTTCTTGTTTAAGAAAATCATGTATGCATAATGCTGAACTCAGTAGCTTCTATAGGAAATTATGTTAAGTCAGATGGGAAACATAATAGCCTCATCCCTGCAGCAATCATTGTTAACATAAATTTCAAACATTTCTATATGGTTCTAATTTACTCCACAATGTGTTTCACCATCCTGTCAAAATGACTAGATATCAAATAACTGAGATTTATATGCTCAAAACTGACGAAAATCAGTGTTTTAAATATATACGGCAATTGAGGGTTGCTAAAATCCACTGAATCTTTTAAATTAAAAAATATTGCCCATTCTGATGAAACTGCTTACAATGCCTACAAGTAAAGATGGCGGCCGTTAAGTTTTATCGTGAGCACCTGAGGAACTATTTGCATCCAACACAAAATGTTTTTCTTTTGAATTACTGACACTGGCAAATTAAAATGAAGTGGATACATATGGTTGAAACAATTCTCACATTTACAAATATCCTGAAATACCACTAAATCATAAAAATGAAAGCTGTGGGTTATATATTATGAATGTTGCCTAATGCATTCCCAACTCTGTTATTTGTTACAGATTTTGTGTGTGAACAAAATTGGCCATTTATTCAAGAATAACAGCTGGTTCCAACACTGCATCTTATCAAAAAAGAAGGACATTACAAAAAGGAAAAAGCAAAATTAACCTCTAAAATGCTGAAAACAGAAGAATCTCATTTTTGGGGGAAAACATTTAGGAGGAAACTTACAAGCTGATAATTTAAATACCGTTCTGTTTTAGCATTTTTATGACTAACAAAAAGGCTTGATATAAAGGTTCATGACAATAAAAACGTTCCACAATGCTGACAGTATCTAAGAAAGAACAGAAGGATCTGATACTGTAAGCTGATGCTATATATTAAGTGAAGACAGCTGATTAAAAAAACTCATCATTACTGAATGTAGGCTGGAAAGGAAGTAGTGTTTCACCCTGTCAATCTAAGACAGTGTTACCCTGAGAAGATAAAGTATCATCAGTACTCACAATATATTTTAAATTATTAGCTAACACATTTTGTTCATCTACAGTAATACCTAGAAAAAAGCTAGAAATAGGAAAACTCAGAAACTCTCTATATTCTAAAAAGTACACCCCAACCCCATTCCATAATAACCTTGCAGAAATTCTGATATTCAATCTTAAATATTAGAACCATGGTCTCAATTTTTTTAACAGTAGCTCAGTTCACTCTGGCTGTATTTCACTGATGTAGCCTAAGGCTATAGGTAATGGAACATTACTCACTATGATAGCCAGATTTCTTCTGCATGGCAGTTACAGGGCAATCTTTATGAGCCAGAAGAAGCTGTTTCAGCTGTGCCACTTCATTTCTCAGCAGGGTGACTTCACTCTGGAGAAGAAACAACTTATGTACCTTACCAGCATCAGACTAGACATATTTTTTACTGTTTAAAACAAGCAAGGATTAAGATATAAAAATTGGACATCTTGGCAGAATGTTAAGGAATAAAGAAAATATACTGGTTAAATATGTCTAATCAGTACTCATTGGTTTTTATACTTTATCAAAACTGCAACTTGTATAAGAACATCCATTTTTTTCCACAAACTTTCTGAAGTACCCTCTTGTATATTATTGGTTACGTGTTGAAGGGTTTTTCTTTCTTTTTTTTTTTTTGGCGGCTGGCCAGTATGGGGATCCAAACCCTTGACCTTGGTGTTATAACACCACGCTCTAACCAACTGAACTCACTGGACAGCCCTCCTGTTGAAGGTATTTTCATTCTACATATGTTACATGCTCCTTTGAATACTGAAAAGTGAGAAACATCAAGAAATTCAGGATGAATTTTCACTAACTATTCACTTGAAACTGAAAAATTCATTCTGGAAATTCAGTTAAGAAGTTTCTACTCTTCCTAGAACCTGGGAAAAACTCCATAGAGGAATCCACAATAACCAAAGAATCATGGATACCTAAAATTCTTCACAAGGCACTGTGCTGGACAATGCAGCCAACAAAACTAGACACAATACTTAAACGGCTTAGCTGCCTTTGACCCAGGCAATTTGTACACAACTAAATTTAAATCTGAATAAGTCAATGATGATTTGTCCTAAACCTTATAACAGAATGCATACTTCAGCCTTTGGGATGCATTAATCTGGTAAGTGCTATGTAAAAGTTCTAAATTGAGTGAGTTCAACTAATTCCTCTGGGTCACCCCAAATATTAAAAACACTTATAAATCAGTGATCATTACCAATACTCAGGAGTTAGAAATAATATCAATTTAATAAATTGGTAACAAAAAATTTAATTTATAAACACCTCTACTTACTTGGACTTACTGTAACTTTAATCATTCAGATTTCATCCATGAGCACAAAAGTAAATGAGAAAATACAGCAAATAGGTGTATATAAAAGCTCAGGCATGCCACTTTCCACTCTCTCTCTTAACCAGAAAGCTGAATGTAACATAATTTAGCAAATTAGGCTCAGTAGACCTCTTTAAGGGATCAATGACAGAAACAAAAATCAAAAGAATAAAAACTAAAGAACAATCTAAAGGCAAGTGTGTTGGGTAAAACAGTTCTTACACCCAATAACAATGAACTGCAACACTGATAATAAAGCACAGAACAAAAACTGATGCCTGTAATAACTCTAAACTATTAATAAAAATGTTAAATTATGTTTAGAATACTTTATGAGAATGGGTGGATCAAAGTTAAAAAGGTAAAATTTAAAACAGTTTTGCTTTAAAAGACAAACTATTATTTAGAAAACTCATTTTTATGGAATACTGCAACCACTGGTGTCAAGACTGCTTAATTATAACTCATTATTAGTGACATTACTGATGAGAAACCATGTTATGAAAAATCCAATATATGAGGGTACTTGAAAAAGCTCTTGGAAGAATGAAAAGATAATACAAATCCTTCCATAAACTTTCTGCATATTATCCAAGCCCCCACCTGCCCTGTCAGCTTGATTTTTAAGACTGATGTCTGTAAGTTTCTCTCATTAATTTCTGTAATATGAAATGGGCAGGATATTTATTTTTATTCAAGAATATACAATCTTTTATGATCAGTAACTGTGCCCACACTGATGTTCAACTCTCACTGCTCTTCCAAACTATCCTTCAACCATACCAAATCACTAGTAATGCCTCAAGCCTGTCATACTCTTGCTGCCATCACCTTAGTTTACACTTTATGAAATGATCAATATTTAATTGTTTTGACCTATAAAAATAGCAATTTAGAATGACAAACTAAATATATATGGTTAACTCTATTTAGAAAAAATTTCCCCTCTTCTTTGCCATGCTATTTCATTCATCTTTAAGAGTCACCTCAGTACAGTATAAACTTGAATAGGAAGAGAAATTAGGTGCCCATTTCTGTACTCCCACAGCCATATGCCTATGTGTGTATATACAGATATAGATACTTGTATCTTTCATAGTACTTATCACACTGGATTATAACTTTTGGTGTACCTGTTTGCCATCTCTACCAGATTGGGAATTTCTCAAGGGCAGAGATTATCATTCTTTTTGTATCCCCAGAGCACAGCACACTGCCTGGCATGAACTAAGTAGACAGTTATACTTTAGAGAAGACCGTGCTAATTTTATGTCCAGGAGGTAAAAAAATATCAAAGAAAGCGAAAGGAAATAGCTTAAATAATATGAAACTGGTCAGAGTTCCTAATTTCATTGTTTATACCAACGACCTCATTAACACAGCTACACTGTTAAATTTTTATGAAATGAAAATTGGCATATTTTATAGCATCACCTGAGAATTTTAAAAATCACAACTGCCTTCTCTTTTACATACTTTATTACAGATATTCATCATAAACCATATTACAGGATGGTTAGAACTCAGTTAGTTAGAGCATGGTGTTATAAGACCAAGGTCAAGGGAAGGGTTCAGATCCCTGTACTGGCCAGCCACCAAAACAAAACAAAACAAAACAAAAAAACCATATTATAAAAAACAAAACAAAACATGCTGTATGTGATAAAATTACTGAAAGCAATTACAAATTACTTAATTGATATGAAAGTTGATTTAAGTCATTATATAAGGATTAAAAATTAAAATATTCCAATGCACTCAAATAAAATTAAATATATACATTCAAATTCTCTCTTTAAACAGGCAGGGTTGAGCTGATGAATGGGACATCAATTTCTGTATTTCAGACTTAACAGTTGGTGGTATTATGGATGGTGATCTAATTAGACTACTTGGTCCATTAACAAATAACCAAATGTGAAGATGCTACTGGCTAACAATGGGTAATAAACATTAAGGACTTAAAGAGATAAAGCACTTGATTCTTGTTACAACTTATACTTTGTACTAACTGAATTTACACTCTGAGTACACAACAGAAAAGACCAAGAGGAGAAGAGGAAATGCATTGTTAAAGTTTAATATAGTAAATGTGTCAATTCTTGCTAAAATGATTTATAGATTTAATGCAATATCAAAAGACTCCAGCAGGGTTTTTGTATATATAAACAAGCTGTTTCTAAAATTTATATAAAAAAGCAAGGGAACTAGAAGATCTAAAATAAATTTTAAAAAGAATAAGGAATTTGACAAGAATAAAGAATAACAAATTACACTAGAAAACCCCCAAAACTGTGCATTTATACACATAAATTCACATATATCTAAAAAATACACTACACAAGTATGCTGTAAGTAATATTTACCCAAAATTCAAACAACCAGTTTTTCCCCAGCACCTTTTAAATGACAGAAATGATAAGGAAAAAGCACAACAAATTCAAGGTATGCTCAATACAAATTCAGTCCAATCTTTTATACCATTCAGACCTAAAATGTTTTAAAATGACAAATTTTCCTAATCATGATTCTGAAGCTCGAAAGTGACTTTTGGATAAGAGGTTACAAATTAAATGTAGTTTGTATTACTATTGTATCCTAGCATATACGATTTTTTTAAAAGCTGGTATCAGCACTACACTGAAAGTAGCAAATGGCACATAGTTACTGGCAAGGTACTGGAACTGAGATAAATACTGCAAAGCAAACACAGTGGTAGTATGGGTTAGGCATAAGAGTGGGCCAAAACATACGTAAGCATATGTTAGTGGTCAAGATCGGGTCAAGGAGAGGTTGAAAACAGGAGGCTCACGCAGGTAAAGGCTACATAACTGAATTAGGTAGAAGAGGCTAAAGACTGTGGTTGCTAAGTCATTTATGATAAACATAGTAAAATCCAACAAATTAATACAAGCATTCAAGAACTGTAGTCTTAACATACATATGTATGAAGAAAATATCCCTAAAGATATGCATGACTATATTAATATTTAGATAAAGGGGTTACATAAATCAATTTTAATTCTGAAATTTTTCTACTGAAAAAAGAAAAAAAAGGGCTGCTACATAAATATGCTGTGAAGACTCCTGATGATTCTATACACAGAGACCTCAGAATGTGAAAAAAAAAATTTTTACTAACACACACACAACCAGTTTGCTTAAGCCAAAGTAAATCTGATAGAGATCTTAAGCCATAAACAGATTTAATATTAAGTGAAAAAAGAAATATTTACACCTGTATTATTTTAGACTAGATTCTAAGTAGGTTCAGCTTCCAAAGCCCTTCTGGTTATATACTATCTACTATTTGTGAATTATTACACTTGCAGAATATATTAACTATCTTCCTGGGTCACTTGGAAGCTGAAGTGAAACAAGGGACACAAAAAGATTTTGAAAATGTAAAAGTCCCATTCAAATGTGAGCAATCATTTTGTCAAAGTAAAACATATTTGAGAAGACAGAGCAGATGCTGAAAAAAAAAAAAAATCTTTTGGTCTGAAATCCAATGTAAATTATTTTGGCATTATCTGCTCTACTCTAATAATATGGTTACTCAAGGTGAATTACATACTAGAGCAAAAGTAATATTTTGCCACATTGTTTATCTGAAGTTGATAAACCCTGATGAAATCATAACAGGAAGACCAACTGATTAATCAATCAAAACTTTTTACTGATATTTGGCCATCAACTGATGACCTAGTATTCTATAAATTTGTAATCTCTGACTTTCTGTTGTAGCTATTACCCCCCCCCCCCCTTAAAGAAATGATATTGATTAGTTTCTTTTGGGGAACTTCTCAAAGAAATGATATTGATTAGTTTCTTTTGGGGAACTTCTCATTGCTATCAATCGGATTCTAAAAATATTTAGTCTTCTCAAAAGTTAGTGATTAAGTATCAAGATTCTCAACACACAGTTCCCAGGGTTATCATGGATACAAAACCTTATACTTGAAAACAAACTAGTTTATTTATATCTATACAGAGAAAATGAAGACAGGGTTCTCACTACAGGTACAAAATATTCTGGAAATACTTTGCAAAATGAATGGAAATGACCCCTCTTCTATTCTCACATTTTAATTACTTGTTTCATGTCTGTCTCCTTGGCTAGACCACAAGTTCTGTCAATGCAAAGATAATGTCTTTTTCACTGTTACCCCTATGTCTAATAAAATGCCTTGCACATAATAAATGCATAATGACCGACTGAATAAAAATAATTAGCATTTGCATAGTATTGTTACAACACGCTTTTCTATACCTTGTCTCATTTGCTCTTGATAATAGTACTTCTGTAAGTTTGACAAACGGAGAAGGATCAGAAAAATGTTTAGTAAAGGTTACTAAAATTAAGTACTAGATCTCAAACCCAGATTAAAATGCATGAGATAGAGGTAGCATCACTATTATCCTTTTACTGCTTCAGGACCATAGTTAAAAAAAAGAAAGATAGTTTTGTTATAGAATAATATCTTTTTCAAGAATTAAACAAGTATTGTACAGTATCTTCCAATTGTCGCTATTCCTTCATATTTCAAGTGATAAATACTGAAATATTGTTCATGTACCAGGAATAAAAATTTGATCCCATTCCCTATTAGTCAATGGACCAATAAACAAAACCTTTTCCACATCATTAACTTATGAGTGAAAAATCTTCAAGTATCCAGCTACAAACGTATGCTTCTATTAATTTATCCACACACGTTTTGCAGTATCCAAGTTTTAAAAGCAAAACCTGAAACAAAAATAATTTCCAAGTATTACACACAGAGTAACTGTTAAGGAGTAATTGTTAGTAAAGAGAAGAGTCTGCCTTTTTGTTCATAAAGGAATCATGCTAAAATTGTAAACTGAAAATTAACCCTCATATGAGTACAGCTGAAAGACAAAGTTATAAACAGGTTAAAACTATTTTAAGTAAAAGATAAAATTAACAAAACAGATATTACTTAAAAAAAATACAATAATTTTATAACTAACAGTATTCAATTCTTGGTCTAGATTAACATAAATGTCTCTAATATAATTTGATGGAAACTGCTTTTAACAAAGATCTTAGAAAGCTAAAAACATGATTAAATTCAGTGAATGGGGCAATATTTTCTTTAAAACCTAACATGTATTTGGTAAAAATATAAATAATCAAAACTCAACACTTGTTAAAACCTTTTATTGTATATAAGTAACCATGGGTCATTACTGCCTACTACATTGATCATCTAAGCTGGTATGTCACATGAAGGATTATTAAGGAAATGTAGAATTGATGAATGTTTTCACATAAAGTAGAATTTAATTATTTCTTTGACATTCAGTTTTCTTTACAAGTCATTCTGTTCTTCACAGTTAACGGCTTTGCTGTTGGCAGACTGAAAAATTATTTTCTACCCGAATTGACTATAAGCATGTTAACTCTTCACACTCTGAAAATGAAAACCTGTCACTTTTTAAAACTGCTTTTATTTTATTTGACAAATAACTAAAAAAACAACAAAAGGTAAAAATCATACACTGACTTAAAACAATAACAGAAAATCATGATAAAGTGCGCTTTCTTCCCCAGACCATCCATGCTTCTCATACCCCTCCACTATTTTTCACATCTTGGGACATGCCATTCCTAAAATTTTACCTATAATTAGGGAATCATTTCTATACCAATTCCCATACCTCTACATTTATCATGTAAATAATTAATAAAAAAGGATTATGCTATACCTTTTAATATGCAAGTGATCATTTTTCTTTTCCAGTAATTTATTGAGGTGAAATCCATGTAACGTAAAGGTAATCATTTTAAAGTGGCATTCAGTACATTCACAATGTTGTGCCACTACCATCCTCTCATCACTCTGAAGCAAAACCCCTCACCCCTTTCCCTCCCTCCTCCTCCCTATCAATATGCATTCTGTCTCTGTAGATTTATCTATTCTGGGTATTTCATTCACATAAACAGAATCACACAATATGTGTTTTGTTCTGGTTTCTTTCACTTAGCATAATGTTTTGAAGTTCATCCACATTGCAGCATATACTTCATTCCTTTTTATGGCTCAATAATATTTTACTGTACATATATTCAACCACTTGTTAATCCATTTATTCTTGATGGACATTTGGGCTATTTCCAGCTTTTTCTTTTTACTTTCTTTTTACACATAAAAGTTTATTACAAGTATTTCCCAAGGTTAATTTGAATTAAACCTAATTCTTTTTCTTTTTTGGAGATGCACTTTAAATCAAATCCTTGATAATATATCACTTCAACTCATTATTTTGTAATGCACTTCTAAAACTAGGATGATGCCATCGTCACTCAGTTTTTAATGATACTGTGATTATCTTGTCTGTAATTTGAGGTATTACCTAAACTCATGTTCAACTGTAGAGCTTAACTTAGTGATTCCCTGAATTTGACTTCCATTTAAATGTCTTATGCTTCAAAAGTGATGTCTGCTAACTTTTACCTAGACAATAAATCTTGCTTTTATTTTTCCAATTGAGAAATTTCTACCAAATTAGGAAATACAAAAGGCACATTATTGTTACAAAATGACATTTTTATCATAGTTTGTATGATGGGAAAAACATGAGGTAAATAAAGATTATATTTATTCTGAATACTAAATTTTCCAAAGTTTTCATTATAAAGTGTTGCTATTAATAGTGGTGACCAGTGCTGTAGTATAATTAAGGAAATAGGAATATCTCATTAAAAGCTGTTAATACTGATATAAAACTTGGGTCAAAGCAGAAAACTGGCCCAACCTAAAGTCCCTGTAAATGATACCATATATTAATACCACTTTATAGTTTTCAAACACTTTCACTTCTTAAATGAGGCACAATAAGACAAGCTACAAAGAAAAATATTGATAAATTTGTCTTACGAATTAAACTTTTCTGTATGAAAAAACACTTGCATTCATTTTAATTTGACTAGGACCAGCAGGTATTATTATCTCTATTCTGCAGGTAAGACAACTGAGGCTAATAGAGGTTAATTATGTTTTACATCATACAGCTATAAAATAGCCAAGTCATTCAGAAGGTTTTGTTAGCAACAGAAAAGAAAAAAATAGATATACCTAAATCACTTTGTTAATGTAATATGAATATCTGAAAATTTAAATAATAATAGCTAATATTCTAACAGACTTGGTAAAGAACAGCCATTCTGTGGTATATACATAAAGTAGTACTTATTTCAGTTTACTTAAAAGGGAAAACAATTCAGACATTTCTTGTAAAAAATTGTGAAACCAGTTCTTGAATGAGAATTCATTTATCAGATGACAAGAACATAATATTTCTTAATAAACCCTATTATATAAATATATATCTGAAGTCTACATGATGTGGTAAGTTATGTTTGAATTCTTTCTAAACCATTAAAAAATGGTTAAAAATAAGTTTTGCAAGGCAATCTGTTCTAAAGCTACCATGTCAATGTTCAAAGCACAACAGACTTTTAAAAGACATCTACGTCACATATGAAAAATTTTCTTATAAAGTTTACAGTTTGTTTAATGTTATATCTAATGCTAAAAACTTTCTCTTAAGCATTTAAACAATTATAATGTTGACATCTTTACAGATAGATTTAAGAAGAAAACAGGTCTCTTATATCAATTATGATTACACAGAAAGATTCATTTTTAACTGGCAATGGATAATTCAGAAGATTGATTTATAAGTAATGACTACAATTCATTAACATCAATTTTCTAGCTAATGTTTATCAACTGGTAGTTTAAAAGATTTTACTGGAGAATATTCACAACATTAAAAAACAAAACAATAAAACAAAAGGAAGGAAGTAATAACAAAAAGAGGGAAACAGATTTGGTGCTGCCTGATACCATCACTGGAAATCTTAAAGACTGAACAGGGAGGGAGCCTTAAAACCTTTATACTCCATGAGGCTCTAAGAAATGTACCTGAGGCACATTGGCAGGGCAGTATGAAATGATTTGTACTGCCACTGGCCATATTGTACCTGTTCTGTGGATAATTAGAGTCCTTCAGTTTCCAAAGCTGTCAATCTGGCACCTTTCGGGAGCACTATATTCACTTTAAATAAAACAAAACAAAACAAAATTTATAATTCAAAGAATGAAAGAATTTAAAAATAAAACTGCTACTTTATAGTTGTGATATAAACCAAAAAATAAACAAGAAAAGTAAAATACCAGTGATATTTTTAAATTTTAAAATTCTTTGTTGGAACTTTATATCACAACTTCATAAAGTTCAAGCCAGATAGTTCAGGTACTTTTGTACTACACAGGTAACCACTTAAATAAAATAAAAATCACATACATGCTCCATACCTGCAGTTGACCATTTAATGAACTTAGATCTTCTGCTTTCTTCTCTAAAGACTGAACCCAAACTTTCCTTTTTTGTCGGCATCTTGAAGCTGCTGCTCTATTTCGCTCTAGAAACTTTCTCCTTTTTTCATCAGGATCTTCGTTAGCTGCTCTTCTTCGACGACCACTTGTATTTTGGGTCTGTGGAGTTGTGTGAGCTGGAGAAGCCTAGTAATAAACACAGATGGATGCTTGTTATATTTGTATTTACTGAGTGAATTAACATAGGCAGTAAATAGTGTTCAAAGGGGGAGAGCTACTAACTATATTTTCTAAGTCCTGTGAATACATCAGTATTTTTGGGCAACATGAAAATCATCCTTGTCGTTTAACACCTTCCTTGAAATCAATAAGCTATGCCATAACAAAATTCTCACTAAGGCGATGTCATAGTGAATGTATTCTTTAAAATATGTATAATATTTTCATTTATGTAGGAAAAAATATGAAAAATTGAAAATACAATACAAATGGATCACGTATAGATCTTATATTTTTCCAAGTGTATTTTTTAAGATTTGATTGTATTCTTCAATGCTTTGAAAACTACTGATTAGAAGTTAGTAAATTAAAAAATTTAATAACTTTCTATTTAAATTCATGATAAGAAACCATGTTTTCTGTGCTATTTCTGAAATAAAATATATCGTATTAAATCTATCAATTTTCTTTAAAAAGTGGTTTCTTTAAAATTACAGAGGGAAAGGATGTATATATACTTTGGTGCATTCAGCTTTTCTTCAGTTTTTGGAAACTTAGGGTCAGTCTTTTTCTTTCTTTTTCTTTTTTTTTTTTTGTCTTTTTCCGTGTCCGGCAATGGATCGCAACCCTCAGTGTTGCCCCCGTACCGGACCGGGGACCAGCAATGGGATTGCAACCCTCGGTGTTGCTCCCGCGCCTCACTCAGCCAGTGAGCGGGAACCGGTCTGTATGTGGGATCCGAACCCTCGGGCGGGAGCGCCGCCACGCTTCCCAAGCGGCGCACTATCCAGTGCGCCACCGGGCCGGCTCCTAGGGTCAGTCTTTTTCTAAGGGCCAGGTTCTTGTAATTGTTTATGCTCTTTTTTTCTGGTAGGTAGAACCCCAGAGAAGCCCTGATTTTCATTTTAATTGGCCCCCTTTCAATCAATTGGCTTGGTTATCTCAGATTGGCTGAGAGAAAGAAATCTTCAGTAGATAGCCATATTGTCTAGAGTCTAGGACTACAGAACAACTGATTCTTCTAAGCCTCTCAGAAACCCCAAAACTGTACCACAGAACCCTTGAATATGGGAGACAGGAAATAAACTTTTGAAAATGGTACAGAGGAAAAGAGTACTTTGTGGCTACAAGCATATGATCCAAAGGAGAAGTCTGAAAACAATCTTTTACCTATAATTATATTTTAAAATGGTGTGAACAAATAAAATTATTTTCTCCTAATCTATATAATAACAAAGACCTTATATATAAGCTCAAGATAAATTTGCAGGTAAACAGCAAAACTATGTCTCACTCTACAAATTCCCCCAAATACAAAGTTATCATTCAATTCCTTTGTCCGAATAACTACTATTAAAAATTAAGAGTGTTATTTCATTTATAAAGTATTTTAATTATAATAAAGATCAAGCATTAAATTAGATTTTTTTCCTTTACCTGTATAATGCAAATTTATCTTTTAGAAAAATATTACTATAGCTGGCTTCAAGAATTGTAACTTTGACATCTTTTTTCTTCATCCTCTTATCTTTACTACTGAAAACAGTAGATATTTTCTTTTATTCATTTGGCTGAATAGGAGAGAACAGTTTTTTTGTTTTTGTTTTAAATTGTTGTAACTCATTACAGCAAACACTAATAAATCACAAATATTAGTAGAATAGCAGAAACTATTATGCAGTTACATTTGTATATTTTTATTCCTAACAAGGATTTGAAGTTGCTTAGAAGGATATACTGCTCCTTCTCTCCCCACTTCCACTGATTCATTCATTGTATTTCATTCGGAAAATTTGGGAACTATTCTAGAAACTAGAGATACAGCAGTCATCAAATAGATGAAGTCCTGCTTTCATTGGGTTTTGATCCAATACGATAAAATATAAAGATATAAATAAAACTTAGATCCAAGGGAAACTATAGTTAGTATAAAAAAAAAGACTTAAATTATATTCATTTCTTTTCTGTTTAAAAAATAACTCTTTAAGAATGTAAAACTCATATGCAGCTTGCAGACCATACAAAAACAGCCACGGGCAGCACTTGGTCTGTGAACCACAGTTTGCTAATCCCTGATTTATAACACACACACACATTTTCCCTCTCTCTGCCCCTAAATAAAGTTTAGTGGATGACAACCACAACTACATTCCACTCTACCTTAAGTTTTGTATAGATAAAATAGTTATGTAAATACCTATGCTTAGGTGGCAATCTAAAACTTTGTTTACCTGTGTTTCCTTGAAAACGTTTACTTTTTAATGCCAACGCTACTATTCTTCAAGTAGAGAAGACAAAAGTCTAAACAGAGTTCTGAAACATTTAACAGAAATACAGAAACCCTTTATTGTAAACATATAGAAATATGTATCATCTGATAGGCAGTCACAAACTAGAGATAAGTGAAGAAGCCTCTAGTTTAAATAGCTGTTATAAAGCATATCTGCTCCTTTGATGATGTTTCACAAGTTTTAATTCAAGAACCATTTGATTTACATCAGTAATGTAATATATACATATATGTATGTGTGTCAATCTACATCTATATATTTCTCTAAAAGAATTCTGATTACCTAGAAGTGAGGAAGGGTACATATATAAATAAATAAAAAGAAATAATGTTTTTTTTTTTTTTTTTTGTCTTTTGTCTTTTTCCGTGTCCGGCAACGGATCGCAACCCTCAGTGTTGCCCCCGTACCGGACCGGGGACCAGCAACGGGATCGCAACCCTCGGTGTTGCTTCCCGCGCCTCGCTCAGCCAGTGAGCGGGAACCGGTCCGTATGTGGGATCCGAACCCTCGGGTGGGAGCGCCGCCGCGCTTCCCAAGCGGCGCACTATCCAGTGCACCACCGGGCCGGCCCGAAATAATGTTTTACAATGAGTGACCAATACTAAAAAAAGAAGCAAGAATTACTAAAGGAAAAAAATGTCTGCCTTTTTGGGACATTTGGAACAGCAGTTAACAGCTCTATACATTTTTACGGCTAAAAAGGCCACCACAATACTAGAATATGATATGTGCTATAATCATGAACATATGACATTTTAGGAAACAGGTAAATCAATGATAATTTTAAAAAAGAGATCCAAAAAGATTTGTTAGAAATCTTAGTTTTGGTTCTTGAAAAAATATCTAATGTTAATAATTATGGTTTGTTTTTAAGACAAGTCTACAGTTTTTGACAATCATTAAAGAAGACAACTCTTCATTCTCCTCAATATAAGCTTCTAATAGTTTTTTTTATTACAGAACTAATTTCCCAAAGAGGAAGGTCACAACCCTAAACTTTCTCAATCAAAAAATAGAGAATGAAGTTAAGTTTCTCACATCTGTATTCAGTTTCACTGTTCTAGGAATCAATAGGAAAAAAATGTTTTCTTTAAAAAGTATAGTGTCACGTCAGACCAACATATACAGATACCCACAGAAACATTTATAGGGTGTCCTAATATTAAAAATTAATTAACATTTATTAATTTCTGTATCAATACTTATACACTGAACTACATTTTCCTAAAGCTTTTGATACAATTTTGTAATAACCTGATCAGAAATAATTTTTTTCAAAGTATATAAAGAAGTCATAAAAGTTACACTGTATATGCCTTCTTAAGGATGACAGAGTACTGAATGATGAAAACAACACACATACCGGAGTTTCTGTAGTGGATGTGGCTGGCTGTTGTAATGATTGTGGTCGAGATTCCTCTGACTGAGTCCTAACCAATCCACTACCATGACCTTTGACAGTATCACCATTGGTAACTGGAGGATGTTGTTGGGTCAAAGCAGCTTTTAATCTCTGAAATGCAAACACCATTTAAAAAAAAAGTTCTCTGCCTGACATTCAAATCTGACTCTCAATATACTCTTCGGCTTACCAAAAAATATTTGTTAAGAAACATACAAACACATACTATTTTAAACTTAGTTTTCATTTATTTCATTGCATTCCTGAGGTTATTATAAATACTAATAGAAATAATATAAGGGCGCTTTTTAAAGTTTGTGAAAAAACAGAATTATAAACTACAAATCTTTCCACAAACTTTTTGAAGATCCCTCATAGGACCATTGGAAAGCTTCCCCAAATCTTTTTGTCTGGTACAGGTTGAGTATCCCTAATTCAAAATGCTTGGGACCAGGAGTGTTTTAGATTTCAGATTTACTGTTAACTGAAAATAACTAGTTTTATTCAACTAAAATTGGCAACATAAGTTAATTATTATATACACTCACCTGTTCTTTTCTACACCATTCTTATACCCAATATCCCAATCTTCTCAGGCTCTGCCTAAATTCTAAGACCTAAATCTCCTCTTTTCCAGATTTGGGCCTACTTGATTTCTGCTTGTAGGTGTGATGGCAGTGTTTAGTTAGATAATGACCTGATGTTGCATTTTTTAGGTCACTATGCTGTCAGACTGAACCTCCTCCTTCAAGAACCTACAGCTAGGCTTGCCTCCTTTAGGTAGTCTTTTCCCCAGTAAGCAAATCTAATCCAAAGTCTATCCTTTCCACTAAGTTCTATTTTGCCAGTTAACCTGACTTTCAGAGTATGACAGATCTAGTGTTAGAATGAGGACCTAGATATTTATGACTACCTATTTATAGATATAATCTGAATGAAGCTTATTATTCTATTATCAAAAATTTGTCATATGTGACTATTTTATCTCCCAACTAGATAGTAAGCTCTTTAAGAGCAGAGATTGCCTTATATTTCTTTGAAACCCTTTTAGTAGCTGGTGCTGTGATTTGCTACGTATGTGCACAATAAACTTATTTGATAACTGACAGAAATTGGTTCTTTAGCAAAAATGAGCACATGCAATATTTAAGGTAGTTTTATTGTTGTGATTTACAAATATAAAATAATCGGCACAAGATAATCATACTATAGTACGTCAGTGATGAAAGGAACTTAAGGGACCTGAGAGATCTGGGATTATTATTGCTTATACTGATCTTAATAAAAGAGATTAATCCCTGGGCCCAAAATAAGTTTTATTAGAAAAATTTGAGTCAAGAGATATGTCCATTACATTTTCTTTTCTTTTCTTTTGACAGCTGGCTGGTATGTGGATCCGAAACCTTGACCTTGGTTATAAGGCCGCACTCTCACCAACTAAGGTAACAGGCCAGCCTCTCCATTACATTCTCTTAACATCCATACTCATGTGCACATTAGAGGGAAGGAAGCTAGTAAAAAAAATATATACTTATGTGAAAATTGTGTTGCAGTCTATTCAGTGCTTCCCAAACTTTCTTGAAGTAAATAACTGCCTGGGGTGTTAAGTGTTAAAAACACGGATTCTTGGCAATCTCTCCTTTCTTCCTTCCTTAAGTATAGCAGAAAGGGTGAGGTGAGAGAGAAGCGCTTTTGAAAAGTGCCCCCAAATGATTTGAGTACAACTGTCACTCCAACTAAGAACAATTTAGAAAATTTTACAACTATTCAAAAATTTATAATTTCTTTATTTTCATCTACATGTATCTTCTTACCATATGTGATCCACATCCCTTAAAAACTGAAGCACATATGAAAAGAAATTCATATCTGAATTTCAACTGAGGCAATCATTATACCTGGACACATATTAGTGGACATTTTCTCTTTACTGTTAATCATTGTAGTGTCTGGGTATGATTTTAAAAATGAAGTTAGTAGTTTAAAAAAAAGTTTTATTGAGGTATAAGTTACATACAGTAAATTAACTCTTTTAGTAAACAGTTCTGAGTTTTAACATGCACATACATTTATGCAACCTCACCTACAATCAGTACACAAAATAGTTCTACTACCCTCAAAATGCCCTCATGCCCTGTGCTGTTATGTATACTCTCCTCCCAACCCCAATCCCTGGAAACCACTGATCTGTTTTCTGATCAAGAGTTCTGCCTTTTCCAGAATATCATACAAATGAAAGGCATTATAGCTTTTAAAATCTGGCTTTCCCTTAGCATAATGAACCTGAGATTCATCACTGTTGTTATCAGTAGTTTTTCAATGCGTTTTTAGTATCCTCATTTTACAGATTAGAGATCGTTTGCTCAAGGGTGCACAACCATTAAGCTATCTCAAATCCTAAATGTGAACCCGAACCTCTTTAATTTCAAAGTGCATAATCTTCCCATGGTACAATGTTACATACATTATCATTGGTGCCATCAGAAAACACAGGGAAAGATCGAAAAATAATCTGAGACTATATGACTTAATGATTCAGAAGACAATCTTTAAGGATTGAGATCATCAACCCTGATATTGCAACTGCTAAGCCATGTCATCCAGGATCAGGCATGTTTTCTCCCTCTTTTCTCACAGACTACTTCTTTTTGAATTATAAAAAGCACTATATATGTAAAGTCCTAGTATCTTCACTGATTAGTATAAAGTATTATGAAAGTTTTGTACAGCTGAGAAGACACTCTAGGTTCAGAACTTAACTAACTCAAACTATCTATGACTTTGAACAAATCATTAATCTTCGAGAATATCGGTTTCCTTATCTGTAAAACTGGAAATAATGATAACTTCCTTGCAGGACTGAGGTGAAAATTATATATTACATGCAAAACTAACTGACTCACAAAAGGATTTGGATTTCTCAAATGTCAGCTCCCAGCTTCCTTATTTCTTCAAGAATAGCTATCGAGGCCTCTATTTTTTTAGCATAGGGGTGGGAGGATGCCAAAGAATAACGAGTGTTCCTATACTTTTGTAATTTCAAACTGTACTTAGGGTCATCTTAAGCACTGGTTTGGCCCCAGACATATTTTTTATGTAAAATATGTTCAAGACCACATCATACACTGTGACTTTCAGAATCCAGACAAGATTCCTAGTTCCTTCCCTTTTTTTCTTCTTTTTAAAACAATCAGAAACAACCATACATGGGTACTTCAAAAAGTTCATGGAAAGATTGTATTATTTAATTCTATTTTTCCACAAACTTTTTGAAGTACCCTCGTATTAGTAGCTAGGACATTAATAACTGATGGGATAATATGGAAGTGGATAGATTACAAGTGAAATTAGATGGGTGGCCTAAGTAGTAAGTAACTGGCTGGAATCACACAGGAATACTTAGGAAAAAAATCAAGAAGAATTGAAAGTATAAAGGAGTTGGAAAGTATGGATGATATAAATAGAACAAAGGAGGAGAGTATGGGAAGGTAGTCATTCTCCATATTTATATATTTTATAAACAGAATGTTAGACACTGAAATACAATGAATAGTATCCAGCATATATCACTAAGTTAGGGCTTTCGTTCCTGGATATAAAATATGTATAAATATAACTAGAGATTGAGATGAGAGGCTTGGTAACTTATGTGTTGGTAAAACATTTTTAAGTCCTTAGGTAGAAAACATCACAGAATTGAAGAGCATTTAAAGTTTTATAGTGAAGAGCTTAACTCTTAGAATTAATGAAATACAGTAACTGCACATAGGGGAGTCTGAAGTACATAAACATCATTCTCTTGAATAATCTTTAGTAGGGCAAGTTACTACCTTATAGAGCACTTAAAAGCAGCATCAGTATTCATTCATTATCCTCCCTTGACTGCCCTAGGGTATACAATACTCATCCAGTGAAGAAGCTCTAATGTTTGCTCCATGCTGTTACATTGATTACAATAGGTCTGACTTGGAAAGTGTGCCACTGGGTATAAAATGTAAGGAAAAGATTTTTAGGGTTAGTTAACACTACTCTGAACTGCCAATTAATTTTTTTTAAAAACTACAACAAAAATACATATACGCTAAAAAAAAAAAAATTAGAATGAGTTAGGTGAAAAAAGCAGCCACTAAATATCATTCATTTAAATTTTACAATTAATATAAGAATATCTATAATCCATCCATATATTTGTTTGAGGCTTTTTAAAGAAGGCCAAATACTTTGGTTTTAAAAAACTAGATGAAAACAAATATAAACATAATGGGCATTTATTTTACAATAGAATTTTGGAGCTAGAAGAGATAACGGAAGTTAATTAGTCCAATCACTCTTACAGATAAAGAAATTCCCAAAGAGTGAAATTACTCCCAGAATCAGAGCGAGTTGCAGCACAGATAATACCAGAAATTCTAGCTGATTCCCAGTTCACTGAACATATTTTAAACAAGAGCTTTACCAAATTAGAGCTTTGGTCTAATATTATTAAGTATATTAGCAATCAATTAAATTGAGTATCAGACATTTGTCAGTCCATTGCCGAGATCCAACTTTCTCTCGGCAGAGAAATTTAATATAAACAAAGATTGTGTATTCACAGAAATAGATTGAGCACTAAGAGAAATTAAGTTTTAAAAGATTTACATTCTTCAACATGTACATAAAACCTAGGCACAATTTTAATTTTAAAGTAAAGATATGTATTGTTTGAAAGAAAACAAAAATACCTTTATTATCATATTTCTAAGTGTTTTAATGCTTAGTGTTAATTTTTAGTGATGTAAAGTTCAACTACTATACTGAAAACTTTTTTTTCTTAGATATAGACTGTGAATTAATTAAAGGATGAAAACTTTGTTGTACTGACCAGTCTGACACATTCATTTTAAGAGGAGATCTGCTAAAAATAATTTGTTATTCAAGTTCTGTGCTGTACCCTTGAAAATAAATTTTATCAGATCAGAACTTGGTAGGAACAAACTACTCCATCATAGTTCAAAGAAAAAAGATAATGTTCTCTATAAACAATTTATGAAAAAGTCAGATCCATATTTCATATGTGCCACAAAAGCTCATCAGAGTAATAACCCTCCTTCTCCTGGGTGTTATCCTAC